AAAGGGTAAAGAATTCTTAAAAATCAAAATTTTTCTATCGGAAAACTCTATTTATCTGCAGAAGATTCCCAGTAATAACACCCAGTTTTTATTCTAAATATGTACGTACATACTATACAATTATACAATATAATAGAGAGAAATATATTCGTTTAAATGTGCATACATAAATATGTACATACGCATAACCAGCATTTACCATGTAGGGAAAGCTACTAGTTGTGAACTAGTATGCTACCAGTTAGCGTTGCAGCCCAACTAGTTCACTTTCTATCCTTTTTCAATGCTAGCGACTCGAGATGTCAAAATTGTCAGGCTATGCATCAGCATCTACTAGTAGCATCACACCAGTTGATGAGATAGTCTGCCAATTCATCCCCCGTGCTCGCGGCGCTCCAACAGTCGGAACGGCCGATAGAGCAAAGCACTCGCATGGTATGCCTGGGGTCCCAGGTTCAAGTCCTGGTACAGGGAAAATTTTTTTATTTCATTATTTTTTTATTTAGGGTTTTTACTGTAATTTTTTAATTTAATTTATGACACCAGTACTTCTTTCTATATGTACGCTTTTTTCTGCAATGAAATTAAATTTTCAAATATGTTATTTATATTTAAGTTGAAATAATTATATTGACTTACATTGATTTAATTTGAAAAATCTTGCCCACCTCTATGAGGACTCGAACCTGCGATCTCAGAACCAGAACCGGCAGTCTTCACGCGACGCCACAGCCGACATTTGTAAGAAAAGGAATTGCGTTTTTTTTTTTTTTTTTTTGCAATTCAAAGGCAGATGTCATGAACCAAAAATACAAGATCACCTAACCAAAGAAGCAAGAAAAAAGTATATTTCTGAGTGTTTTTGACATCTGCCTAAGAATGAAAACAAACAAAAAAACGAAAAAGGCGCGGTGATTGAGTGCGATTAACTTGGTATTTATTATAAAATATACAAAGTGAAACTTAATAACAATTAGCAAAAAAAGTTCATAAAATATGGTTTTCATGATTGAAAGTGTTTTACAATCGCATATCATTACCACGGGTCGATTTTTCAATGCCAACGTTCTGGCCACAAACGTGCACCCACTTTTCACGCAATTTACGCCTTTTGGCAAACCAAACATACGCACAAACTTGTTCCGATCACACAGCACTTTATTTTATATCATAAATATGTAATAAACCAAAATTTATAATTAAAATCGCTGCAGAAAACACATTCAATCGCTAAAAAATCACTACGAAGAGGAAGAAGACGGTGTAAACAAAACCGAAAAACGTCAAAAACGCTACGAAAACTTTTTTCTGAAAATCGATTACAAATACAACGATGGCTGATTAGGTGATCTGTAGTCGTTGGTTCATGGGCAGATGTCGCAGAACTTTTAAATTCTTCGAAGTTGTCGAACTGATCGGGCATCGCTTTACCACATACTAGTTAATGAACTAATATTTATACTGATTGGTTTGGGTTTTCACTACAGGGTATCAGTCGAATTATGTCTTAATAAATGGCCAATAATACCCTCTTGGATATTAGTTTGAAAATAAATAAGTTAGTTGACAGTCATAAAAATTTATTACGGCAATTTTTAGCTTGTTATCAACTGTTTGCATTTTGGAAACACACTTAAGTAATGGAAAATTTTAATATTCTTAAAATTGTACAGTGATATGTTTTATGTTTAACTGTAAAAATCAAACTTTTCATAAAAAGTTTATATTTATTGCATTTATCTCTTGAAAACATTGTGTGATTTTGTAGCATTTGGGTAAGATCTTTTGAAACACCTCCTACTTGCTTGAATATAAAATGATGAAATACTTGTGATACTTGTTATCGCATCAAGTTACATAGAATCAATAATTGTATGCTATTTTTTTATTACCTTTTTTGTGAACAAATAAATTCGAATATTTTTAAAAAAAATATATATATATTTTTTTTAATCTTTCAGGCACAATACGCACATCTTTGCTATCCGGTTCAAAGTTTAATGCTACTTGGCACTTAGCATACCCGCATAAGGTGAGTAAAAGCTTATGTATGTTCTTTATTTGAAATCCATGTCATATATGTATATATATATATATATATATACTATACTTGTGATAGTGAAGAAATAAATGATAACGATTAAGACCAAAAAGGTAAAGGAAAAACTGAAGAATATACAAAATTAAAACAATGAGAAAAATTAGTCATAAAAAATTGAGTTATCGAAAGATATCAAGTTACTGAAATTTATCGTATCGCGAAAGTTTATACTTATAGAAATTTATCGATTGATCCATGTTTATTGAGTTGTTACAACGTATCGAATTATTCACATTGGCCAATGTTTATTGAGTTGTCGAAATTTATAGACACAGTAAATTAGTTGTCGAAATTTACGGATAGCTATCGAGCAATGAAAATTTTTGGGATCATCGAAATTTGTGAAGTTAATAAAATTTGTAAAGCTAACGCTATTTATTTAATTACCATTATTTGTAGAGTTAACGAAATTTATCGGGTTATCATAATGCATTGAGTTCTTTTAACTTATCGAGTTATCGATAGTTATTGATTCGATTAAATTTTCGATTTATCGAGTCGAAGTTTTTGTATAAGTTTTTCGAGTTGTCACTGCTTATCGAATTTTATCGTATTACCAGAGTGTAACGAGTTATCGAAGTTTGTCGATATCTTTCGAAAAGTATGGAGCTACCAAAATTAACCGACTTATCGATTAATAGTTTTTGAGTTATCGAAATTTATCAAGCCTCGAAACACGTACATATGTAGCTATCGAAATTTATCGAAAATTATCTAAATAAATCGAGTTATAGAATTTTGTTGAGTCATCGAATTTTAGTGTCTTTGAAATTCATGGAATTATCGATATACGTCAAATTATCGAAATTTACCGACAAACTGGAATGTATCGGGCCAATTCCAAGTCCTGCCAAAGCGCTCCAAAAACCTTCAAAGACATAAAAAATTGCACATTATAAGTTAAACGACGTGCTAAGTTAGAAAACCTCTCCAAGCGTAAGAAAAATTGAAAATTGGACGAATTTCGACAGTAAAAGCGCAGTTAGTCAACGACGTAGCGTAAACGTAGGTTGACGTACGTAGCAGCATATCAAATTTACTGTTGATAGAGAGAGAGAGAAGCAACGGCAACGTCACCGCCATGCGGTGGTGAGTTTTCGTTAACACGCGAATCCCATAAGGTAGATCGTGTCTGCGTCAACCTACGTCTACGTTACGTCGTTGACTGTTTGAGCTTTAAGGTCGGTGTTAAATGTGCAGAAATTTTGTTTGGCAAACTGCGTGCAATTGTTGTTGCAGCAAACTCGGAGAGAGCGAGTTTGGCGACTCTCACAGCAAACTAATTTTGTTGGGCCAAACTGCTATAAAATCAGTGTTGCCATACACACAATTAATTGCCTATACAAGATCATAAAAAATATAAATTTTTGCATTTAAAAATTTTCATTTCGTGTTGGAAATAGCCGCGAAAACCACAATCACCGTGCAACCCTGTGCCAAACTCAACATAACCACCTCCGAGCAAACTACGCAGCCGCCATTTAATTTGTCAAACAAAAGTTTGCCTGCATAACAGCGACTAAACTGGCAATCCTAGTATTAATTAAAATACCTACGAACATACTTTATAGCGAAGAAAAGTGGAAAAACAACAACAATAGTTACAAATGGTCGATGTTATTGCTGACATTTCGAATTCACCACATCTCATCATTCTTTTTGACTGGGTTCATTGGTACTTGAATCGGCAACTCAACGGCGCTCAAAGCCAGTGGTCGTACCCACTAAACTAAGTTCGCCAATGTAAACTGTTTTTGCTATCTCCACTTTTTCATTCCGGCAACCAAACTATAAACAAAGGCAACGATATTTGTTATTATTTAGGCTTGACCTTGAATTGGTTTTTAGTTAAAATTCTATTTTTAGAATATTTAACTTTATACGAGCGCACGTCCTTAAGTTATTTGTTCTTGCTATTTTTTATTTGGATTAAAAGGAACTGAATTCCACAATTTTATTGAGCCCAAGGCTGTTTTTTGGTGAAAAGTTCTGTGGAAATTTTGATGAAAACTTATTGTGATATTTTCAAGGTCATAAGGTTTAAATTTTTTACGTCTATAAAGAAATTCGAATATGTGGTCGAGTGTCACGTAGCCCTTAACATACAATTTTTTCTAAAATTACTATCGCGAAATTTCAAGGATAAAGCTTTAAAAGGCCATTTTCAATACCTACTCGTCCACATCCAAAAAGTTTAATCTGCTGCAGAATTTTCTCTTTAACTTGATACCTACAGTGTTTTCTACATTGAACTGAATTTTTTAAATAATTTTTGAAGTAATCATATTTTTCAAATTTCAAAGTCCTTTTAAAAAATTCCGAATGCAGAGCAAAAAAAAATTGAAACGTAGTTTTACTATATATGGCCCATTTACGTACCTATACTTCCGTTTAGACCCCATGTCTGTTCCCATGTCACGCCTTCAATTACTGGCTTATCAAAATTAGCTTATTAAAACACATTTTTCTAATTTGTTTATTCTTATATTGTTTTAACTAGCTATATATATATATACATGTGTACATATATTTAATCGTACAACGTTCAACATGTACCTATACATACATACTGTATACATACTTACATATGCGTGCAGCTTGTGAGTTTTATTTACAACATTATTTGACTAAGTATTTATTTATTATTTAGTTATTTATTTACAGTCATATTAAAGTGCATTTTATGAATAAGTGGGTGCGTGCCGCTTTGAACTGTGCTGAAACTTTAGATGACAGTGCATTGCAACGCATTCAATCCCTAAATTCAATTTAACATAAGTACGTATAAGCATAACGTTACTAACTTAATACGCTAACTATGAGAGGGCTTTGGTGATTTAAATTTTAAATTTACTAGTAAATTTAAATAAAATCAACATTTTACATTTGCTTGCCCATTTAAGTATTTTATACTAAGTAAAAATGTTTGTTAGCCTTCTTTGCTCATCACAAATTTTGTATGTTGTAAATTCGTTGGACGTATATTAGTCGCCTAATAATTGCACTCAAACGTTTTTAATTAAATCTAAGTCCCACCAATGCCACAATAGCGAAAATGGTTGTTGTCAATAAACTAGCCGTAGCCATTAGTGCACCGCCATACAGTTCAACTGTATTACAGGCGTCGCCTTCACAAATGTTGCAGTTACCCTCGTCGCTGGTATCACATGTCAGTTCCGACTCGCAGCCACGTTCGACGAATTCCGTACGTTTGGTTACACAGCGATCGTTGGCTACGTATACGGGACAGATTTGTATCGAATTGGGGGCTGACGAGCAAGTGTTGTCACTGGTTGAATTACAAATGTGACATCTGCGTCGATTACTGGGGAAAATCTGTGGAGAACAAACGAAAAAAAAACACATTAATTATTTACATAATACATAATGTTTCATAAGATTAGCAGGAATAGACTCCAATCAGCTTGTTAGACAACGAAAGTGGGTTTCTTAAAGGCTTAAGGGAATGGTAAATTTGTTTCCAAGCACAAAGCAAACACTCAGCTCTCGTTATTGGTCGCAATTCTGACAGGCAATTGTGCGATTGGTATTCACGCATTCAAGTCTCCACAATTTGGCGAAAGACAAAAATCTTTCGTAAGACAATAGTCAATTTTGGCAGCTATCTTGAAAGCGCTATACTGCCAAAAACTAATTGAAAGATTTGCTAACGAGGAGGTTTTCGCGTTATGCTGATCGCCTTTTGGCAATAAGTTTCCTAAAAAATTGATTAAATTGAAATGTATATGTTTTTTCTTTTTAAAACAATAGATACTAATAGAAGAAAATTAAAATAAAAAAGTAAAATAAATAAAATGAAAATAAAGCAAAAATAAATAGAATTTCTTTCTAAAATTAACTGGAATCAAAAACAAATATCTGTTTTATTTTAAAACAATAAAACCTAAAGATTAAATTAGTAGAAGAAAAAAATTTTACCAAAAAAGAAAATGGTAGCTAAAAATTAAACAAAATGTAAAAAAATATTTTTTTTTCACAAAATCCTAAAACTAACACAAAATCTTAAAAATTAAATGACACAAAGCAAATATTTTTTTCTGGTTAAAACAATAAAACGTATAAATTAAAAGAAAATGCCAATTAAACTATCAAAAGAAAAACAAATTAAATGAAAAACATAAGACGTTAGTAAAATAAGTTTCTAAAAATTTCATGATATTTAGAAAGATAGCTTTATTTTTTAAACAATGTAATCTAGAAATTAAAAAAAAAAATGTAACTAAAAAAGAAAGAAATGTAACTAAGAAAAAAGAAGAATAATAATCAAACGAAGAAAAAATAACGTAGTTTTCAAAAATTATATGCACTTAAAAAATTTGTTTAAAACAATAACATTTAAACATTAAAAGAAAATTAAATTAAGAAAGAAAAAAAAAAATAAATTAAACAAGTAATTTTTAAGCAAAAAACAAAACCGACTTCAATTCTCAAAAAAAAATTTCATGATCCAATGATCGGATCTAAACCGGATTAGTATGAGACGACCTCTGAGGCACTCGAACTCGAATCTCTTGCTCACTCTGCCATTGCGACTGTGGGAACGACGTGATCTGAATGACATACAAGTGATTCCCCTCGAAAATTAAAGAGCATCTTTGCTAAGACAATGCGAACTACATACATATCTTGACATCTGTCTTTCACTTGTTCTACGAAAGACTTTTTACTATCTTATCCAGAATTTCCCTATAAGATGGAAACATTTCGACACGATCTTCCTGACTAACCCGCATGAGCTCCCAGACATTCGTGATTTCGTAATCCGCCCGTGGCGATTCGCCGACTATGAAAATTAACGGTTTCCGTCCAACTTTAGTAATGTCACAAAGAACAATCGCTTAATTATTCAGGTGCGTCCTAGCCTCAAAAACGGGAATATGAACTAAGCTCTGTACCAATTTGAAATTTAAATGAAAAAGGAGGGAAGTTCAGAACCGACTTGTTGGTTCACACGGATTTCATTCCATTCTGAGCATTCGTGAAGGTTTGGTTAAATATTTTTTCCGGTTCGTACACTTCGTAGTCGTACTCCAATTTGCTGGCAGAATAAGGCGTTTGAGCAGTTAAATAGTGATTGGAGGAAATTCCTAAGCCGAGCCCAAAAACATTATACTTAGATGGAATGGAAATGCAGCCGCCGCACCCGAATATGGTACAAGTAGCTAACTACCTCTGCGCGAAGTTGTTCTATTAAAGAATATGACATTGGTATTGATACTTTTAGTCAAGAGTTAAAGCTGAAGTGTTTACGGGAGTACCCTGACGGTTCTTTCATGGAAACAAGTATTCGAATGGATTGTTGTAACTACTTCAGGGACATCGAAATGCTTGACATATAACGTTATCCTTCTTTGCGTCAGCATTCAAATCAGGTGAAGAAATCTTGCAAGACGGCTTGGCAAAGTCTGGTACTCACTAAAAAAGTATTCACCTTGAACATTTCTATGTAGATACCCGATAGACTACCGAGTGCCCTCAATTAATTGAATGCGCAACTCAGCTCAAATACAATGGGTATATTCCGTGTTGTTCAACTGCCACTCGATGGAAACTTTTCGGCTATCAGTCGGCACAAAGAGTGCTAGCCGATAGCCGCGGAATGGAAAGTTCTTCCAGCCGGGGAGCTACGTCGGTCACGTAACTAATGTAAAGAGAGATATCGCCGAGGTGCGGATTATTGAAATGGAAATTCTTTGTATCAAAAGAAATTACTTATTGTGAGATTTTAAGGTCATTTTAACCGAGGGTAGGCAGGAAAACGGCTAACTCACTGATTCTTTTGGAGATAGTGCAGGAGACGCTGCTATATCCCTTATTGCATCTGAGCCGTAACGATGGTGTATACTAAAAAGAGTTCACCCTGCAGAAATGACGCGTATTTCCATGGCGCAATAAGTTGTAGAAGTGAGCTCAATATTTTACTCTGAAAACTGATTTTTGAGGGCGGAATGATTCCAACTCAGGATGTCAGACGCAGACCCATATAGAAAAACCTCCAAAAGTGTTTGCTGTCTCAGGTAAATTTTTTATGGCTATGTTAATTTGCAACTTTTTGGCTAAGTATTTTTAGAATAAGTGAAAAAGGATTAAAATGTATATCGGATCGAAATATTTAGTTTGGTTATATATAATATAGGAGGAATAATTTTACAGAATATTTTATCCCATTAGCTCTCACGCGAAAGAGTCGTTTTCACATTTTTTTTTGAAAAGTCTGTATAAAATTTAATCAGAGGGTTAAAGTTTTCTGACCCTTTCGTGGTAGAGCTAATGAGTTAAAATAAATAGTCTACAAAATAATTCCTCGAGAAATTGTACTATCTGTCCTAGAGATGGGCGCGGCATATCGGGACCCGCAGGACCCACGAACTTCAAAATGGCCGGGATGGGCGGTATTGGGAAAGTCTTTAAAAATTTTGCATTCAGAACGGGACCAAATTTCTTTCGCGACGCTCACGATAAGATCCACAATTTCTGTAAATTGAGAATATTTTCCTATTTAAAATTAATTTGAAAGACATGTGAATTAAACTTTGTGATGGATTTCGCGGTCCACGGGACCAACAGTACTATTCTGAAAAACGTCTGAATGAGCGGGTTCGGGACTTAAAAATTGAATTGTGAGATGGGCGTGAACGGTATTAAAATTTTTGTCCCCTGCCCACCTCTAATCTGCACTCAAACTGTACTATTTCGCTGAGATATGTATTTTAACCCTTTTTCCATTTATTCTAAAAACACTAAGGAAAAAAATCCTAAATGTAGTATGGCCATAAAAAAAATGTTACCTTACAATGCAAAAAAAAAATTCGAGGTTTTTGTGAAATTGTTGCACAGTTTTATCATTCGGCACTCATTAAGGATATTTGCAATGTCCAAATAGGCTTCCCGGCGGAGGAATAAATCTAAATCTTATAAAGAAAAACCAGCGCCACTCACCTCGTTGTTACATCTGTCACCTGTGCAGATAGCGCATGTACCAGCTGCTTGACACGAAGTCTGCTCGGCTGAGGACAGTTTGCTCAGACAACCGCGCTGCGTGAGGCCACCTGGAAGAAATTATATATATTTTTTCGTATAGATTGGATTTTCTTTATCTATAAGTACTTCTCCCTTAATTTCTAATACACACCTGTACTCAAGTAGGTAACACATTGATCCTCCAGCGCCGGGCATGCCTCGGCAATTGTCAAAGTCGCGGGATTTTGCGCGCATGCGGGCGTAAGCGTCGAATTGCATGACAAACAATATCCACCTGTGGTGGGCAAGCTCGCAATCGCATTACAATCGTTACCCGTGCAGCGATACAGTTTCCGCTCCGCCTCCCACGCTGCCAGATCGCTGCTATTTTGCGCGCTGCCGCAGCCCAACAATTCGGGTTGACCATTTTCGTATTTGGCAAAACAGAAATCATTCTGATCATACTCCGCACAATATTGCGCCGTACTAGTGCTACATGATGCGTCACTGCAGACGTGACATCTAAGACGATCCGATGGGAAAGCGAAATTATTACAATTGTCCGTGTCACAGCTAGCGCATTCGGTGCCGCCGCTTGTATTAGCGCGACAGACATAACGCTGATTCACCTCCTTGTCATCCAAACATGTACGTATGAGCTGTGAGTCTTTCAGGGCGACCATACATTCCTTATGACATGAACGCTTAGCGAAAACTGCATTTTCCGGATTGATGGCGCACAATGGATCCGTTTCGGATGTACAGAAGTTGCACTGCACATAGTCTGTGATATTCCAGGCATCATTACATTCGTTCGATTTGCAGCTAAAGCATAAGTGTGGATTCTCGAGGCAATAACGCTGCTCATGATCCTCAACATCTTCATAGCAACCGCGACGCTTCACCTCACCATCGGCAGTGAATACAGTAGCACAGTCTTGTTCCACATTGCCGCTGCAGTTATAGGCTGGTCCCAATGAGTTCAAGCAGTGTTCACCCTCACAAGTGTGGCAACGTAGTGGCAACTCCTGCCACCAGCCATGTATGCCATCATCCTCAGCACGTTGGATCATATCGATGATGTTACAGCCGGTGCCGACGCAAGATCGGCAATTTCTATCGTTGACGTCACACAGAATTTCAGAACTGCAGCCACGCAGGGTCACATTGCCAACCAGTGCCGTTCTACAAGTTTCTGTGTTGGTCACATATGGGCAAGGCCGCAGGCGTGTAGGATTCGATTCACAGGCCGCTTCATCTTCACTTGTGCAGGTAAAGCACTGCTGACGATCAGCGGGGAAGACCTGCGGAAAAGGAAATGTGGTTGATGCCTGTTTCAAGAGTCGCAGTTTGCTCTACTCACCTCACGATTACAACCCTCTCCAATACAGATGCTGCAATT